AATCGCTCCCAGGAACCCACCGCAGCTTCCCACGGAGATGCTCACCTAAGGCCTTTACCCCTCCTAGACCATATCAGAGTTCAAGGAAGCCAAATATTCCACGGATCTCTGTACTATCCAGATCATAAGCTTTTCTTTCTTTCTTTTTTTTTACCTTTGTCTGTTAACACATTTTTTCCCAGTGGTGGTGGTGGTGGGGGTGGGGGATCTGGGAGGGACCTGGGAACACTGGTGGGGGGATGCTGACCCTCGTTTGGGATTGGTGCTGCGATATTCTGTGTCTAACATGCAGCTATGAAGAACTTTGCAAATCATAGTGCTTTTGTAAAAAATAAAATTTAAAAATCCGCTCTAAGGTTTTTTTTTTTCCCCAAAACCTCACTTGGTCGTGACTATTTATTATTCTTTAAAAACACATTTCTGTGTTTTAATTTATGGAAGTGCCTTGAATCTACATTTACAAGGGAAATATATCAGTGGTTTTCCTGTCTCTGTGTCTGCTTTTGGTATTAGGGTAATGCTGGTTGCATAAAATGAGCTGGTAAGAAATCTTCCCTCTATTTTTGGGAAGAGATTTATATAGGGTTGCATGCTCTCTCTCTCTCTCTCTCTCTCTCTCTCTCTCTCTCTTTCTCCTTCCCTCCCTTCTTCTTCCCTCCCTCCTTTCCCTCTCTCTCTCTCTCTCTTTCTCCTTCCCTCCCTTCCTCTTCCCTCCCACCTTTCCCCTTCTCTCTCTCTCTCTCTCTCTCTCTCTCCCTCCCTCCCTCCCTCCCTCCCTCCCCGCCAACCCCCTAGAATTTCTTAGTCAAAGTACGTGAGCCTGAGGTTTTCTATTTCAGATTCGATTTCTCTGCTGCTCTGCTTATCAGTGTCTTTACACAGTGAGGCAGTGAAGCCATTAGTCTGTGAGACTTAGGTGCATGCTGCAGAATAGGACCCATGTGTGATATGGGTCTTTCCCTCCTTCCCTCCTTCCTTCCCTCCTTCCTCCCTTCCTCCCTCCCTCTCTCCCTTTCTTTCTCCTAGGGACACTCTCTCTCCTATTTCCACGGTGTTGCGCTTTCTCAGCAGAGGGCCCTGGGGAGAATTTGCAGCAGAAGAGTGTCTTGGTGGGCGGGAGACCACCAATGGAGCGTGCCCCAGCTGGGCCCAAAACTTGGTCCCTGTGCAACCGGACACTTGGGCTAATGGTCCTGTCGGGGAAACCGCTGTGTTCACCATGCACCCCCCCCCCCCCACCGGAGTCCCCATGGACACTCTGGGACCTCCTGAGGCACCTGGGCCTCCCATGCCACTGGCTCCTGTAACCGATGGGCACCAGGGCCTCCCGGAGGCGCCCCAGGTCTGTTCAGGCCAGAGACTCCTACCCATGTGCTGGGCCTCTTTGGGGATGTTCTTGCTCTGCCAGTGGGACCTTCTCTATCCCAGACCCCCCAGACCATGGCGTTAATTGGGCCCTGGAACCCAGCGTGGCCTGTCGGTCTCCCCACTACCCGCTGGAAACTCCGTCAAAGCACCGTGAGACGTGTGTGAATTCTTGCCCTCACTGGCAAGGAATCTCCAGGTTGTCGATGTGTGTCCAGCAGGTCCCTTTCTCCCTCCTGCTCCTTGGCTCCCCGTGACTCGCTTAAGGGAAGCGTCAAGCAAAAGGCTGCATGGGAGGAAGAGGGGATTTCCTCCCAGAACTCAAGGACATCCAGCAGGGAGCAGGAAGCCAGCTGCCCCCAGTGCTGAAATGCGCGTGGAGTTTCTGGGTGCGAGTGAACCGAGAGGAGAGTAGGGTCTCACGAGCTCACTGTTCACAGTCGAGGTGCCGTGGCCCTGAGTGGCCAAGGAGGAAGTAAGTGTTCAAGCTACAACAGTAGCCACGGCAGCACAGCCCCTGGTTAGTGCCAGCAGCGATTCTGAGGCAGAGATTTTATTTTGATTCCTGTGGAGAAGCAGAAGAGGCACAGGAGACAGAGTAGGGAATACTGCCTCGCCCCTGGACCCAGGAGTGGTCCCTGAGCACAGAGCCGGGAGAAATCCTGGCTGGTATGGCTCCAAACCAAAAAGTAGACTTCTTATGGGGCCTCCTGTGAATGGAAATTGTCCAGTCACCTCCCTTCTTCCGTGTAGCCAGAGGAAGATGCCCCTAACTCAACCAGCCAAATAAAGCCCCATCAAAATCCAGAAAATTCTCTTCATGGCAGTTACGGTTTTTGGCTTGAATTTAAATTTAGGTTCCCTGGGAATTTTGGAAAAATATTTTTCTTCATTGTTTTTGTGAGCCCTCTGAGGCAGAGATACGACTTCCCCAAACAGAACAGCAGGAAACGCAGCTAACAATCCGCTGGATCATGCAAATGAATAAAAATTGCCAGAATTATTGCAGGGGTGCTGAAAGCCTCCCTCGGATATTTTATGCACCACTCTGAGATGTTGGTGGCTCAGGACTGCCTGTGTTAGCAACCGCAGCACTCGGGGGAGCAAAGTTGGTGAGAAAATAAATTACATAGAAATTGTCTCCAACTCAGAAATGGGTCATCTTCCAGGGGTTCTTTTGTAATCATTTAACCTGGAAATATCTGTTTTCCTTGTGCAAAATAGCTTTATAAAAGATGGCTTAATGAGCTGGCTTACGCTTCTAGTTGTCTTTGGATAAAAAATTACAGTTTTTCCTTTAATAGGGCACTTTGGTGTATCAGTTACTGACCAACAGTTACTCCAACACTTAGAAGCCCGAGTCCGCCACTAAATGTCTTTCCCTCTCTTTTGGGGTGTGGGGTATAGCTGGGGTGTAGCAGGGATCCCCAGGCCCCGGGCTTAGCCTTCAGCATCTTGGCATAGCCGCTCCGGGCCCAGGTGCCTACGCCCCTTCAGGAGACTGCGGTGGGTTCCAGCCCTGCGGGCGTCTTCCAGGGCTGCCTTCAGCAGGTGGCCCGGCCAAGAACTACTCCATAAAGAACCTGCAAGATGGATGGTCGCTCCCAGGCAGAATGACCCCATCCACAGCATCTGTTGGTTTCTTTCTAACTTGAAACGATCGTACTCAGGGTGTAGGTTGACATTTTGCTCGTCTGTGTTATGTGTCTGTGTGGCACTGGGGTCCGAATCCAGAGCCTCTCACTCTAGAGGAACCTTCTCTGCCACCGAGCCACATTCTGGTTTCTGCTGATCGTGTTCAAAAGAATCAAGTCGCGGGACTCAGCCCACGCCATCAGGGGGATGGGATTAAACGCTTCCTCCCAGCCGCTGGGGAGATGGCTGAGGGGGCAGTGTGCGTGTGTGTGCGTGAACCCTGAGCTCTGGCCCGGCATTGCCTGGCCCCCTGATGACCGAACCCAGAGTGGCCTCAGAGCCAAAGGAAATAGCAAACAAACCACCCAGCGGCCCCAGGAGAGCTGGAGCCTCCATGTCTGTGTTCAGCGCCTGGAGGCTGGGAGGCCTGGGTCAAGGCCACATTCAGCGCCTGGGGGAGGCCAAGCCTGCCGCTGACTTCACTTTCTCAGTGACATTGAACCCTGTATTTTTAATACATAGGGGGCATCATCAGGAAGGGCTCCTGTTTCTGGGGGTGAACGGGAGTTGTGAGGAGGGCCTGATCCTAGCACAGCAGCTAAGACCCTCCCCTCTGCCAGGGGGTTTCCTGCAACCTGACTCACACGGATATAGATTCATCTGCCCCTCGGGGTAACCCACCAGGTGGACACCAAGGAGACTCTTCTAAATGCAGGGGCGAGGTCAGGCGGTGAGGAGGGGAGACAGAAGCCAGGACCACTGAGGCTGCCACTGGGCCTTTGCTCCGTTGGCACTGGGTTGGGGTAAGAGGCAGAGAAACTGTGGCCAAATGTCCAAATGCCCAGTCCAGTTTATAGTCCCTGTTGTCCTGCGGTCCCAGGGGTTCCAGTGAAACCCAGGGAACAAAGAGTGCCAGGGCCACAGCATCTGTCCGTTGGGCACGTTTCTGGTCTCTCCCCAGGAGACTCTGTGAGCAAGTCGTGTGCCACCCCCGCCCCTTCACCACCCCTTGCCCCCCGCCCCAGCCCTTCCTCTCGTGAGACTCACAGAAGCCCCAGTTCCTCCCAGCCCGCCCTCCCCGTGCAGTGCCCTCCAGGATGTGAATTGCCCGCTCTCCTGCATTGGTGACTTTCCGCCCTTGAGGTGAATCATGCTCTGCTCCAGGGCCAGAACCCCTCCACCCCTTCCCCAGATCCCCAGCGCCCTGCCTTGGCCTGAGCCACGTCTAATGAGCCCCCCCCCACCCCCGCAGGCCAGGGTAGGGGCAGGAGATGGCAGTGAGGCAGCTGCACCTTCCTCAGGCATTTCCCCTGTAAACGTGCAGCTCCCAGTACTGCTGGGAGAGCACTAAAGCCCTTCGACACCTTGTCTGGCTCCAGCCATGGCGTGGGGTTCCTAGAGGGAGAAAATGCCCGAAAAACAGAAGCCACTCACTTCCGGTCTTAGTCTTCGAGCTGCCTGGCCGGGTGGCAGGAATGGCTGGTCAAAGGTATATGGAAGACCCTGAGTCGTGGGAGCTCAGGAGGGTTTTTTGGGTCTCTGAAGAGGCAATGTGAGACAGCCCGTGGCCCACTCTCCTGTTTCTGGACATGTGGTCCTCGAGTCCTTCTGCCCCACTTCTCTGGTTGGGTTGCTGTTCTGAGCCTCAGGAGCCTTCTGGGCCACCCCCCCCGCCCCTCCCCCCTCAGAGCCCCCTTGCTCCCCAGGGCAGCTGAGTGTCGTGGGGTCCCGCAGCTAGGAGTTGGGGACTTGAAGGCCAGACTGGTCCTAATGGCTTGGGCCTAGGCCTGGTTGTTGGAACAGGACCACCTCGGGGCCTTTTGTGACTGGAATAAAAAGCAAAAATAACTGAAGCTTATGAGAATAAGCCTGTGCCTTTTCTGACTGAAAATAAGAAGTAGGGTCTTCGGCACGTTTAGCGGCATGTGTTAGTACGTGTGGAGAACTTTACACTTAACTTGCATTTCTCTCTCTCTCTTTCTCTCTCTCTTCTTTTCCAGCCAAGCACCATGTCAACGGCAACAGCACAGTCGAACCTTTCCCAGAGGGGACGCAGATGGCTCTGTTTGGTAAGATACCAGCTCGGAAAGAAAACCCAAATTGTGTGCAAAGACCAGTGCCAAATTTCTGAGTTTAGCAAGTATCCTCGGGGTGGCAAAATCTGGGCACGTCTAGATATTTATAAGTTGCAGCAGCCAAAAAAAAAAAAAACAAAAAAACCCCAAAACTTGGGTTCTTAGTGTTTTGGAGTTGAGAAACAAGTGTATAGAATTTAGTAGGCTTTCATTTCTCACTTTGCAAAACCAACATTGAACCCTGTATTTTCTCCTTCTTGGGTCTATACTGGGAGTGACCCTGATAATCTGGGTTGGAGTCTTTTTCTTTTGTTTTTTTTTTTGTTTGTTTGTTTTTGTTTGTTCATTTTAGGGCACCCAGGGCTGTTCAGAGGGCTTACTCCTGGTACCCAGGAATCACTCCTGGTGGGCCCAGGGGATAGAACCCAGGTTGGCTGCATGCAAGGCCAGTGTCCTACCCACCTCTCCAGCTCCAATTTTTTTTCTTAAGAGGGATTATTCCTATCCCGCCTACTCCCCCACTCCCCATCTGATCTATTCATTGGTCTGAGGCTGGGATCCAAGTTCTTTTGAGTTGTTATTCCACAAAAATCAGTCTCATTGAATGGTTTCTTTCTCCTTCAGCTCTGGGGCAACCCTAATCCACAAGGGAAAACATCTGCTCAGATGAGCTAGGAGGAATGAAACAGGGCCCCTGAGTAAGTGCCCAGTGTACTACACCACAGGGCGGGGAAGGGCTTCTCAGATGGTGAAGGAGTTGCTTTCTGCTTACCCAGTGGGAAGGAACTGGCCTGGCCACTTTCACAGGAAGTGATGCTCCTCCCCCGGAAGTAATACTCAGGGCAGGAAGCAGGAAATTGCCTCCTTGTCCAGCCAGTGAGAGCTGTCACCACTCCCGGCTCCCAGTTCCCTCCACTAAGTGTTGACCTCAGCCCAGGGAGGTCGCTGTTCCAATATGGGCGCCCACGCTCTGAGCATCTTTGTTGGCGTCCAAAGACGCCCATTTTCACTCACTGCTTGTTGGTTTGAGATCGACAGCCCGCTGGGTGGTGGGGACACTAAGGGACACAATGACATGTGGCATGAATGCTCAGAGGGTGCCTTCCCATAGGGCCCCCAAATGTGTTGGTGGCCGGATCCTTGTGGCATGGGAATGAGAGGGGCACGTCCTACCAGAGCACATTTCCTCCATGTGCCCGGAGCAGAGCAACCTCGTGGGAGGGTGTGCATGCAGAGATGGATTCTCAGCCCAGATGAGGCGGGCGCTTTCCCTGGCAAGCCTCGGTTTCCACCGTCGAACGAGAAGGTGGCTGGGAGCCTCCTAGTCTCCAGTCTGCACCTTTGCTTGTGCCACCCGGGCCCCAGGCTGGTCTCTGCATGGCCCCGGGTTGAATCACACGATTCCCCTAATGGCACAGTCACGCAGACCTCTTGCAAAGCAGGACGTCTGACAGCCGAGAGTTCTTTGCTGCCTTGGCCCTGCCGTTTGGCCCTCACAGATGCTTATATTAAGGCCCCTCTTTTGGTTAAGTACGTGTGAACCTTTTATATTGATGTACTCAGAACTCTTGTCCATCTGGCGGGTTGTGAGAACTGCCCAGGGTGGCCTGCCCTTGTCCACGCCGTTTCTGGTCTTGCTGGAAAAGGCCCCACAGCCCAGTGCTCCGCTCTCGTATAGCTCCGGGGCACTGGGGTGATCTTGACAGCTCTGCCCAGAGGGGCCCTTGCCTTGCTCCGAGTCACTGGGCTAGCGAGGTGGCAGAGCTAGAATGTGCCGGGAGCCCAGCTGACCCCAGAGTCCACATGCTCCTCCCGGTCTCCCGACTCTTGGCACTGACCGAAGCAGACCAGGAGGGGCTGCCCGGCAGAAAGGCTTTCAGCAGGGGCCGTGCGCAAATGCGTGCTTTCCAGCCAAGCCAATTTCGCAAATTGATTTGTGAGTCTCGGTGCATTCCCAGAGTGCCGTGGAGGACCCTCGAGACACGGCTTTTGTGGAGAAATTGCTGCTTCCGGCCGTGTCACCTCCCGCTCACCGCTGTGCCCTGCTGGATCTCAGCCGCGTGCATTCTCCAACATGAGTATGGCTGGCTGCACTGGACGGGCGCCGGCCCAGGCCAGGGGGCATTTTCTCTCTGTCCAAACAGCCTCCAGCTTCGGGCGCTTCAGGTTTGTGGCCCAATAGTCTCACCAGGTGCAGTCACATTGCTGATAGGGGCTGTGTCCAGCTCTGTGCCAGGAGGTCGCTCTGGTGGTGCTGGGGATCGAACCAAAGTCAGTCATGTGGAGGCAAGCACATCGATCCCTTTACTGCCTCTCGGGACTCTCCTAGCTGGTCACCTCAGCAGACCATCCGGAAGGCCACTGATGCAGGAACCCCCACAGCCCTTGTGTTCTGGAGGTGGTCATGGACCCAGCCTTTGGTGTGGGAGGGCCACGCTGAAGGGAAGGGGGAGGGGCAGAGCTCCCCCCCCATTGAGGCACTCAGGAGTGGGGGTCATCACAGCTGACCCAAGGATGGGTGGATGGACGCCTCTTTCCAAACCATCCTGATCTCGGTGGATTTCTTTCCAGAGCTATTTATCATTTCAATTTTTGCTTGTGGTCTGCAGGCTAGTTTTGTCGTCCTTGGGGGTCACCATTCCTCATCCTGGGAACCCTTCTCACCAGTCACGAGGCTCAGCATGCTGCCCTCCTGGGGCTGATCTTTCAAAGCCCCTGGAGGAGGACTGGGCCAGAAATCCTTTGTTTCTTTATTCTCCATGGCTCTCAGCCCTTCAGGCCCACAGCAGCCTGCCAGATGGCCATGACTGTTCCCTTGAAGCCACAGACGCACCCACAGAGGCAGGAAAGGTGGCCCAGGTGGGAACATGTTTTTGGTCATGAGGACTTCAGGCTTCATTTGCCATCAGGTCATGCTCACGCTAGAAGGTTCTCAGTGGCCTGGAACCTAATGGCAGTGGCGTCCATCCCAATGGCAGGGAACCTCTGTCCCTGACCGGATGTGACCTGGTCAGACCATGGCCATGTTCCTCTGTCCCCTGCCACCCATGTTGGGGCTAGTGCACTCTGTCACTTCAGGTGTGACACTAACAGCCGTTCCTCGGCAGTGGAGAGTGGGATTCTCGCCCTTTCATCTCTGTGGGTGAGCATTTGCCTTTTAGAATGGTCCCTTTGGGGAAGTGGTTACTTCTTCCTCATATCCCATGTCTAGCCATTGGGCAACCCACAGCCAGTGGTTTGGGAGAGGTGAGATTCCAGCAGGAAAGCTGGTCTGGCACTGAGAGTGGGCGTGCAGTCCCCCACGGGGGCCTGAAGCAAGGCTGCTGGGCTCCAAGCTCTGCAGAACCAGTTTCCTGTGTCAGGTCCTCTCTAGACTGCTGAGACGAGAGAGAGTGAGGGGCAGGCCCAGACAGGGGCTGCCATGGATCGTCATGGTATTGAGTAGCTGTGGGCAAGGACTCATTCTGGAGCTGGCCCCTGCTCTCGGGGGACTTGGCTTCGGCACCCCCTAAGGAGGAAGAAGCAATGCAGAGGCAGCCCGCTCCCCCTGGTGTTGGTGATCTTTTGAGCAACCGCGGCCCTGTCAACCGGCCAAGGAGCCAGCGGGCAGGGGGCGATGCAGAATAACAGCTTGCTGACGCCTGGGCTCAGCAAATAATCAAATCCCAGCATGGCACATCGCTCCCCGAACCTCACCTGAACGCCTGTGAACGCATTCTTTGCGCGGTAGTGGTGGCAACTCTCGCCAGAAAAAGGCCAGAAAGGATGACTTTGGAATCAGCCAGACCATCTAAATTCACAGAATGGGACAGGTTCACACATTCCAACAGCAGACTGCTAACGGGTGCAAACTTCTGAAGTGAGAAGGCACCAAGGGAATGAAATCCCAGCGCCCCTCCCCCAATATTTTCCTCCCCAGCAGGCCACCCTCCACCTGTGACCTCTCCCCCTTGACCTTTTATCCCAGGACCTTTAACCCCTGTGCTTTCCCCATGGCCTTTGGGCACCTCTGAGGGATGCTCTCCTCCGGAGACCAGTTTCTGGTAGCTTGTTTTTCACATGCGTGATGGTCCCAGGTTCACTTTCTGGAGCGTGGAGCAGTCAGATATTATAGAGGCGGGGAAGAGGCCTCTTGTCTAGCTGGATTGAGGGTGCCTTTGGGTTTGAGTGATCTTAGCTGGCTTGTGCACCCCACCTGGGGTCTGGGGTCTCAGGTGCAGGGAGGATGCAGGGAGTACCTGTGAGGAGAGAAGGTACCTGTGGGAGGAGTTTCTGAAGCCAGGTGGAAGGAATCAGTCCGTAGGGGAAAAAGAGGCATTGTTGGGGGCACCAGCGCCCTGTCCCCTGGCCGTTTTGGGTTCTCTCTCGCAGTGCTCAGAGGACCATGAGGCCTGCTGGCAGGGATGACCTGGGCTCCCTCAGGCAAAGCCCATCCCAGCCCTTTGGACCCTGTCTGCCGACCTGAGGTCCTGTTGTCGATCACACAGAATAGACTGTTCTCGCTCTCCCTGGCCATTTATCTCTTGCCCTATTACAAAGCGATTCAGAGGAAAATTAAAATATATACAAGACACAGCCAAAGGAGAAAAAAAACAAAATACATGAGATTCAGGTAGACACTATCCCCTGAGAAGTGCCCGGCAGGGAGCAGTGGCCACAGGCCTCATGGTTCTCCCTCGAAGCAGCTGGGGATTCACTTTGATTTTGACTGGCTTCCATTTATTTCAGTCGCAGTCAGCACACCCACTGTGACCCTTGCTGAGCAAACCCTGTCGTGTGTACAGCCCCGGATGTCGAGTGCCTTCACATCGCCTGTGGCCAGCACCACCTTCATTTCCAGAGCGTTTTCGTTTTTCCCAATGGAAACGCTACCCGTTGACCATAGACTCCCCACCCCGTCTCCCCTGTTCGAGGCCGGCCCTGTTTACACCCTTTGCCCCTCATCTCGGGTCCTGGACTCCTGGCACTTGTTGCTTTGTCACAGACCCATTTCA